AGCTCCGAATCCCATGGCGCACTTTGCGCAGGATCGCATCCTCCGGTTGTGCTGCAGGGTTACTTCGGGAGGGCCTTGGGGCCTTGCGTCGGGAGCCCCCCAAACCCATACCTCGGCACGCAGAGGGAGTCAACGGCAACTGGAGGCACGCGTGGTAGAAGCTGTGCAAGTCTCAGTGTGGAGAATATTTACTTTTTAGAATTATTCGACCACAACGAAAAAAGGGCCTCCAGCGAGCTTCCTGGCTTGGCACGGCCACGGAGGAGTTGCGGAGAGGCGCAGCCGAGATGGGCGACAGGTTGCGCCAAGTCTTTGCCCGGGCCTCGTGCGCAAAAGCGTACAGCCATTCTGTAGCTTCTGGGTTGCTCGGCTACGCTGATCGGTTCGCTTACCGTACATTTGATGTGTTCGGAGGTGTCAGGGAACTTGTTATTGTGGGTTGGTGGCTGCCTCCGCAGCTTGCCTCTCGAAGGCTTGTTCGTTAGCACCTTCGTTATACCCTGGAACTAGACTCACTAGACATCCTTTATCCTGGAACTAGACAACCTCAACATGTCCCGTCTCGCCGCCAATCCGATCTACGCCGACCCAGGCCAAACTCCAGGCCGTCCCTCTGGAAGGGACAACTCAGCCGACGTAATTGCCTTGAGCAATTCCTACTAAGCCGTGAACCAAAGCACCCCCCAACAAAAATCAAAGGAACTCCAGGCCCCGCGGGGGGGGGGGGGGGGGGGGTGTGTCCCCTGAGCCATGGCTGCTTTGCCTTTCTTCGCTTCGCTGCTGACGTGGCCCCTGGTGCTCAGAGCATCGAGCTCTGTGAGCCCATGCGACGAGAGATGCCCGGCGCGGTCTGAGTGCAAAGAAAGTTGCAAAGTGGTGAGAATCGTGATTGCCTAAGGCCAAATATGACTGCAGCTACAACGTTTGCAGTCCAAGCCCTCAAACTCGATTGCCTCTCCGGCTGAGGATATGCCGACTGGCTCACTGATAGAGAGCAGTTCGAGCGCATGGATGAGCCTCGCTATCTTCAGGCGGCAACGTTTCGACAGTGCAAGCAGGGTCTGTGTCCTAGCTGTACGAAAGCCACAAAGTTCAAGGCAACACGGTTGCGTTCATGCGATTGTCGGGGCAGCGGTCCTTCACTGCACGCGTCGTAAGGAAAAAGCAAAGCGACTACTATCAAAACTTATATAACGTGCATGAGTGGTCAGCTAGGTCTAGAGCGGTAAAAAGAAATTAGCTTTCAAATTGCTGGCCTCGGTTCGTTTACAAGAGATTCCTCTGATCCCCGCAGGGCTTGCACGTGCTGTGCCTCTGGCGCGAGAAGGAGGCAGCTGGCGACCGGGAGACTCCAGAATCTCGCAGTGTGGTACACATTAGCAAAGATTAGATGCGTCATGTGCTATTTACATACTGTATCAAGTACTTCAGGAGAGCCGACCTGAACCCGAAACCTTTAGATTCCTCTAGCATATTTCTCCCAATTCAACGGTTTTGCACGACAAATCTAACATATGCGCGATACGGAGTTGTGGTTGCATGTGGCGCCCTTGATCGGGAATGGTGCCTTTCCTGCTATTCATGGAGGGTTTTTTTGCGGACAGAAGCACAGATGGAATGGTGCAAGCAGAGGTCTGCCTCAATGCATAGACGATCGACAGCACTGCTGCTAAAGTCTCCTACAGCCCTAAATATCCCATCGTTGCCTGTGCACGTCAGGATGGCCCAGTGTTCCTTGAAGCACAGCTAAATGGCATCAGAGAGGAGCGCCGATAAGAGCTTGTCGCCTTCGATTCTTTGATATTCCAGAGGGTTTCGCTGATTGATCTTGGAGCCTAATCTGCAGCTTTAACTGCGCTGCGGCTACTGGTAGAAACTGCCCTCACTGCTGAAGACAGAATGCGTGGAGCGGTGCCATTGGTTAAAGACGGCTAAGTAAGAAATGAGATAAAAGCGAGTGTACTGGGAGACTGGGAGACACAGTCACGAGCACAACAAGTCCTTCCGCCCTGAGACACGGCTGTGCCTGACGAGGAGAACCCGTTTCTCTCCGAGCTCCCTCCAGACGTGACCTTCCTCGAAGCGTCATTCAGTTCGGGAAGACGCGGGTGTGAAGTTCAAGCTTCGCGTGAGGTTTTCGCTGAGACCAAGATGCAATGAACAGTTTCCGAGCCTGTGCGCCCAGGTCATCGATGCTGACTGGGGAGCCTTCCGGAAGCACCTGCAATATCTGCTTCACTTCACGAAGGACCAACAACGGTTTGCCTGTCATCTTCCTTGAGGGATTCGTTTCCAGAAAGCCTTTATAATAAGCTTAGTTTGATTCGGAGTCTGGCCCGGCAAAATGGATCCGCACTCCTCAGATAATTGCGGCGGCTCTCGCTCCGCATGGCCGCCCCTTCTTTTTTGTTGCCTTGTTGCCAAAACTGGGTCCTTGTTAAAGCCATGGAGAAATCCGTTCAGGCCACCAACGAGTGGGGGAACTTCCACCTGAAGCAGCCCTTCGGCCTCTTCGAGCCGGGCGGGCGTCGACTCGCCTCGACCGCAGAAGCCCCGCCGTCAGCACGGAGGTCCTCAATTGGGCTTAGGGTTTAGGTTTTTTTTTTAGGGTTTAGGGGTTTAGGGGTTAGGGTTGATGACTGCATTTGGATATTCTGGTCAAATAAGAGTCGGAACTGCGTGTGAGGTCTTCAGCTAGACGATTCGTGTGCTCGAATCGTCTGCCTCATGGATCCACGTTTTTGATAGTCGTCGGAGTAATCCGAGCGGTCGCACTGCGAGGACTAGGGTTGCAATAGATAACACGCCAGTGCCGACACCCACAAGCAAATTGAATCTCGCATCTGACTAACAAAACGTCAAGAAGATGACTGTAAAAAGAGCTGTGAGCCAGAGGTTCTGGATGCCCAGCTTGTGCTCCTCTTCGAAGGCGGGCAATGGCTCCTTGACCTTTATTGACCTATGTCATGCTTTAGGGCTCCTTATGATATAATATACACTGTACCATGAAAGCCTCTCTTCTAAGTATTCCAGCCACATTCATGTCGGTTGCCAAACAGCCGTCGACTGGGCTTCGACATCTGAAGCATTCGGAGCCTTAGAGCCCCGAAGCCCCGAAGCCCAACCCGGCCTCCGGCCCTTCCCCGGTGCTTCCGAGGTTTTGGCCTCCAGTGCGAGTCGGCGCCTAGCTCTGCACTTGGATTTCCGGGAAGATGGGGGGGGGGCTGGGGGGCAGCAAAAGAAAGGGGGGTAAAAAAGCACATCTTTCCCATAGCTTTTCCCTTCTTGGGCATTCTTGGGAGCAGCGAGGGCCAAGTTGAGTTCTCGGAGCCTCAGGCTACGTGCGAGCGCTTCCCGGCACGACCTACGAGACGCTCCACTGCAAGTAGAGGGGGGGATTCGAGTCTTGCTCTCAGAGCAATCGCAGACACGGATTGTAGGCAAGGTCGCCGATGGAACGCGCATCCCAAGAGAACCCCAAGAGCCGAGAGCTCGGAAACCGAAGGCTGAAGACGGTCTCCGTCCAGCCCGTGGTCTTCCTGGTGCGCGGCTTCCTGCGGGAGGAGGTCCCGGCAGGGGGCCTGGGTTTGCGGCTTGTGCGCTCAACCCTGGGCTCGGGCTTTTCGTGGTTCCAGATCAGGGAAGGCCCGACACATGATCAAGCAAGAATGATCCAGCCGCATTCGTGGTGGTGAGATACTTCAAACCAAGAGATGAAGCTTCGAGCCAAGAACTGGCATTGTCCGCTCGTGAGAGCGTCCAGAGACAGACTCGAGGAATGCCAGACCATCATTGCCATGGGAGAGGCCAGAATCATTCAGTATTGACCTGCTTTCCTTCTGCTTGTCTGCTGCCACTGCTGCGATGCTTCGTCGTATCAACCTGAAAAACCTGGTACCTGCCTGTGTGAGCGTCTACAGGGTTTAGGGTTCAGGAGTTATCCAAGCCTTCAGAATTCTGACATTGAGCCCGGAGGCCAACATGTCGGAGTCGCCCATCGTGCCCATGGACACGCACCACCGGGACAAGGACACCAAAGAGAGCAGGGTCATGTAGGATCCAATCGTATATATGCGCAAGTCTGAGCCGTGCACTGGCACCTAGCCCTTGACCGTGGTATCCTCGTTCGGCATTCGACCACCTGGTCACATGGTGGTAACAACCCGACACACAGGCCGGTAATCTCTTGCACCACCCTATGACGAACTCAGTATAAGATCGAGCAGACTTCCAGCTCGTCTCTGGAGGCCACCAAAGAGTTTCGGACCAGCACCCAAGCACGCTTGGAGAGCAGTGAAAGCCCGCTGCTCCTTGGGCTTGAGATGGGCTTGGGCTTTCGGATGTTCCAGGCTAACTGATGGGAGTGCTGAAGAAGCAGGGGAGTTCGGCCCTTGCCTCTGCATGTATTCTTTTTGGCACCGTGAGCCTGACTCCCGGATTCTTGGGTGTGTTTCTTGTATGCTTTGAGGCTCACCGAGTTGGACCATCGCATCAGCAACCTGACGCGTGTGCCAGTGCACCACAACGAGGAGGTTCCGCCCGCGTAATGTAGGGTTTGCAGAAGTTGCCCTAAAGCGCTGGCAGGAAGCGCTCCGGGTTGAGGCAAAATTAAGACATTCTGTCTGTTCTATTTCTGTATCTGTCTCTCCCTTTGTTTGGCGTTCGAACACTCTTTGTCCATCTCTCTTTCGCTCGCTCGCTCTCTGGACCTTCCGCTCCAGTCCGCTTTCTGTCCCAATTGTGCATAGCCTAACGCGGAATGAGATTGTCAATCCTGCACGCAAGCCCCGATGCCGAAACGTACGGGGCCGATATCTGACACGCCAGACCAGAAGCCACAAGCCGCCGGCAGAACCTGGAAAGCCGAAGCCTAGCCCAACAGTGCTGAACGTGAAATCTCGTAAGCAGGTCCAGATCTTGAGATACCGGCTGGGTGAGTTCTACGCCGCCCACACCGACAATTTCGACCCCCAGTACTATCAGAACAGTGTCGAAGCTCGGATGCCGGCTCCCAGGGACGCGCCTCAACGCTGCTTGAGGGTCGAGGGTCCTGCACTTACACAGACACACACATGTATGCATATATCATATCATATCATATCATATCATATCATATCATATCATATCATATCATATCACATCATATCATATCATATCATATCATAGCATATCATATCATATCATATCATATCATATCATATCATATCATATCATATCATATATATATTTATATTTATAGGTAATATAGATATGTCTGGATGATCTGTCTCTGTCTGTTTTACTATATATATATATACATCATACATCATACATGTCGCCAGTCTGCTGTGGACTGAGAGTGCAAATCAAAGCCGTCATCGTTCAAAGTGAATGGTCTTCTTAGCCCCCCTCACACCCGATCCCAGGATTACATCGACAAGGGGCACCGAAATCGCCTGCTTACCGTCTTCTGGTACCTGACCAACGTGGCCTGGTCACTGATGTGAGTCCGTTCAGGCAACAGTGTAGAGGTGCAGCCAGCAACCTCTCGTGTTCTTACGCTAGATGCATGCAATGTGTCAAGGTCAGTCAGGGTGGACAGACGCTCTTTCCGCGGGCACACGCTCTGCCACAGCCAGAGGCACTCAGAAAAGTTTTAAGTGTTCAGCCGTGCAGCTGGACATCATTGCAGCATCACAAACACTTGAGTCCATGGAAGTGGCCCTCACCGCGACTAGCTAACCAAACCGCCGGAAGGTACAGCCCAACAGAGTCGGAGTATGTCAGAATGTTCTTTTTGTTTGAGGGCACATGATTCTCGCAGGACATGCACAGCTGTGAGAAGGGCCTCAAAGTTCAGCCGGAGATCGGCGCCGTCTTGCTTTGGTATTCCCTGCGGCCCAACGGAAACTCCGATCCGAGACATGTCTTCCACAGCTATAAACTCCTGGCTTCACACCGGAAGTACCACGGATATCACGAGGGTAATTTGAGACGGGGGCTTGGAACAGACTGGGTAAGCTCGATACACCTTGCTCAGCTTTCAGCGACCTTACAAGGAATAGCCTCCACGCCTCCTGCCCAGTGCCCCTCGGCAATCTTCATGTGGATGCAGTGTCGTAGGGTTTCTGGGCCGAGACCAAGTAAGTCGCAGCCTACAGTCCTCCACTTGGCGCTAAGGCAAGAGGGCATGAAATGGTCTGCCAATTACTGGGTCTGGAACAAGCCGCGCGACGTTCAAGTCGCTCTGCCAGACGCAGACTATGATGATGAGTACGGTGCGCTCGACTTGATTGAGCGCCATTTTGGGATCGTGAGGATCCAGGGACAGTGCCTTCACCCGACTACCAACATACTAGATTGCAAGCTCACAGGTACACTGAGTTGTTGTAGCTTGGTGACGCTTTGGCCCGGTCACAGCTACCAGGGTTTCAGGGCGGAATCTCTGGTCGTGAGAGGAGAGAAAGAGGTTCCGGAGGGAGCCGAGGCGAATGATGACATGACATCCAAGATATGTATTTGGGCAGCTGGGTCATTCCCCTAAGGGCCCAAGCGCTCATTACTTAAAGACTTTGGGGCCTGCTTGGGCACCACAAACCGTATATAAGGACTACTTGGACCCTTGGGGTTCTATGTCTTGTAGCCTACCAACTTTCCAAGCCACCTCCCCACTTACCCATCCGACCGAAAAAGTGGTCCTGGCAAGGTGAGTCCTCGGTGGCGGAAAGCGACGCTGTGCCTCAAAACAATGTCAGCGCCACCTTTGAAAACCGGCACGAGCACCCCGTGTATCTGCCATGACCTCAGTGCATCAGCATCGTTTCAGAGGAGTCTCTGTCTCCCAAGTCGGTCCCAAAGAGGGCCCCCTTGTCGTGGTCAGCGGAGACCCAAGCAGCAAGCCTCAAGGTCCTTTAAGGCTCGAGACCGTTTTTAAGCTTTTAAGCTCAGCCCTGGAGCCGGTCCTCCGCTCGCATCCGCTCGCATCCGCTCGCCCTGTCGGCGACAATGAAGCTGGGCTCCATTCGCCTCCTCTTGGCGTGGGCCTTCATTTTTTGGACCTCCGGGTCCTTCAAACTCGTCGAGTCCCCCCTGGCAATGACCAATTCCACGAACGAAACCGCGAATCGCATTGTGGAGGAGGTTGTTGCCCAGAGGCTGCATGCAGACATGGAGGAGATCAGCAGCATTGACAACCCTGCCTCGGAGAACCAGAGTGGTTCCAACGAGAGCACAGCCATGCAAGGCCCTGGTGAATTGGCCAGAAACCTGGAGTTCCTGCTGATCAAAGTCGCACAGCTGGAGGCAGTAGCCGAGATGCAGCAGGCCAAGCTGAACGAGCAGACAAAGAAGATCGTGTCGCAAGAAGACAGGATCCAGTCCCTGGAGAAGAAGGTGAACGGCGAAGGTCAGAAAAGCGCCGGGGCTTTCGTCGAAACGGAGCACAAAGATGCACAAACACTGTTGAACGAGGCAACCGATGTCTTGAAGAACGTGATGCTCAAGCACAACAGACAGCGCCAGAAGGGAATGTTGCATGAACGACACCGAAGCGGATTGAAGGGCTCCGGGTCTGAAAAGGAAGCCGAGGAGTCTGCGAGGTTTAATCCGCTCGATTTGGTCCCAAAAAAGGTCCGAAAACACATAACAAGCCCTTTCGACAAGTTGGTCGACGGCTTCCAGGCCGCCGCAGACAAGGCGCACTGGCTCGCGACGAATACGGTCGACACCCTTGCGCTCGCCGTCAACATTCTCAGCCGTGGCTTCACGGACTTTCGTGCCGACTGCGACGGCAGCAATTTACCCAGTTTCAGTTATTTTGATCAGCGCGGCCTGCGAATCAACTTCGGCAACCTGCGATGCGAAATTACGTTGATGGGGCAGACGACGCCGCTGTTCGGTTTTGACTTCGGGTGGAAACATATCCCTTTGCCCAGTCCAACGCAACTACTTGGTGGCAACATCGAGGGTCTCTTACCGGGACAGTTGCAGCAGATTGTCAGTGGTGACATCTTGGGGCTCATGCCTGGCCCGCTGAAGCTTCTTGGGGCTTTCGACTGCGCCGGGCAAGCTGACGTGGTGCAGTGTCTCGGCTTCAAGATCATCTCAGACATCGCTCCCTTGAACTTCTTGACGCGCCTGGGGGACATTTTCAAAGAGTTCATCGAGTCCTTCGCCAAGCTGGCCTCCAAGTTGGTGGCTCAGGCGATGAAGGGCGGCCAATCCCTGCTGCAGACGGCGGCCACCACGGAGTTCCCCTCTGTCGGCAAAGATGCGGTGGTGCATCACAGAGGACCCAACCTCGTCATTACGAAGCACTCGCAGAAGATGCCAGGCAAACATGCCGAGTTGTTGCAGAAGATGGCCAACCTGGAGGAGCCCAAACCCCCGGCTGCAGTGAAGTGGAGCTTTGAAGACTACGGCCCTGAGACCCAGGCGCTGGTCACCCAGCTCCTCGTCTCATTTCCATTGGGAGCTAGGATCTCCACTTGTGCGGGTCAGATCTTGAAAGTTCAACTGCTGAATGGTGCGGTCTCATGATGTGGATCCTTCAAAGCGATGCCATGCCTGGGCCAGTGAGTTTTGTCAATGTCAGGCAGGGGTTAAGGTATCAAGTGTCTGGAGACTCGCCTGTTTTGAGTCTTAAGGCTGCCCCCGTGATTGTTCCGAATCCAAGGTTCAACGGCAGGGAGACCAGCACGGGATCCTGCCTGGCATTCGCACCCAGGAGCAAGACAGGCAGCAACAACCAGGCGACTGAGGCGGATTGGCAGGCACAGGCCAAGGACGACTTCGTACAGCTCGAGCCTTGGGCAGTGCCTTGTGGCAACCAGTGGATGAAGGACCATTGGGACAAGTGGCAGGGGTATTCCTTTTATTCGGTGGACACTTCAATTGAGAAATGCCTGACGGTGACGTTCGCATTGAACATGCAGCCCGTGGCCGCCTTCGTGGGTGGCATCGAATTTGACTTGCTGCCCGGACCGTTGGCGGAAATCGATACCCAAGTCTGCTGGCCCCGGCATCAGCCGGGTGGGTTGGATCTGAGCGTCTTGCGGTCTGTGATCAGGTCCAATGGCGTCCTCCTCTTTAGCCGGACTCTTCGCCTGTCCAAGAGGTTTGGCAACGACACGCACTTCGTGACGGAGAACGTCCACGGAGGCCACCAGACATCGCGAAGTTTCTTCGGCACATCAGCAACCGATGAGGAAAGCGGAACCGGCATGGCATCCATGAAGAGATCGTCGCTGCTGGAGAGCAACCAGAGCCGGGCACAGGCGAAGGCTCGGTTGCAGGAGTCTCTGCGCTGGGAGACGGACGAGGAGGATCTGTACTTGGCTTCGGTCAAATACGGCGAGGACATGGGCGACATGGGCATGAACAAGACATCCGAAATTCGAGGGTCCTCAGCCAGAAAGCGGCTCTCTTCTTCAGTCCACGTCTCAGAACAAGTGCACCTCCGACAGCTTCAAGCTTTTTGAGTTCAAGAATCCAGGCTTGGTGAACTTCGAAATCAGCGGCCTCTTGTCTAGCAACTGGCTTCAGCTTGGCTTGCAGATGGGATTTGGGGCAGCATACCAGAGCCCTGAGATGACCATTCCGTTGGTGAACCTCGCGGCCCAGTTCGTGCTGATTTTGGACTCCATGCCGGACGAGCTGGTTTCCAAGGAGAGCAGGGCACGGGCCATAGCTGCCTTGACAGACTTCTCGATTTCCGATATCGGAGAGGTCATCAGCAACTCCAAGGTGGCCAATGTGGCGGAAGACATAAAGGGCGGGGCGGAAGACGTCGCGGGCGGATGGTCCTTCAGCGTCAACTCGCCACCCGTCGGCTCGGGCATCACGCGCGAGGCGAGCGAGGAGCGGCCTCCTGAGGTCCTCAGCGTGTGCCAGGGCGAGATGGCGGAGGGAAGCTCCTGCTCAGATTTGCCGGAGGCAGACTGCAACGGTCACTACGTGATGGTCGCAGAAGGTACGATGCAATGCTCATGGATGGATGGAAGGTGCTTGAGCATGGGTTCCCAACAACCACGACAACCTCGACAACCACAACCACCACAGGACTGTTCCACACGGAACTTGAGCCGGCCGCCCCTTCGTCGATGGTGGCTTGGTTCAAGAGCGAAGACGCTCACCCAGTATGGAAGAGCGCGGTGGGCAGCTGGCAGGGTCGGGTGACCAAGGGCAGCATCGCCAGAAAGGTCGAGGCTGGAAGCGGGGCTACACGACCCGTGACATACCTCCGCGGCCTCAGTAATGCGGGATATGACTTCGGCAAGATCATGAAGCCAGACTTCACGATTTGTTCCATCACCCGTTATCTTGAAGGAGGCATAATGGGGCGCATTCTCCAAAACAACAATCCGAATTTCCTCCATGGGCATCATGCCGGGCGCACCGGTGTGGCTTATTATGGTACTTGGGTCACACCTCAGGATGTTCCGGGCAATACCGATTGGCTTGTGATGTGTGGCAACAACAGGGGGGTTGTGTTCGTTGGCAACGGAAGGAGCAACATCGCTGTCCGCCACGGTGCTCTCCAAAACGCAGCCGACTTCAATTTGTACATCAATGAGGGCCTCACCGATGAGGTCTCTGATTTCGGTGTCATGGAGGTCATCACGTGGAACCGAGCCCTCTCAGAAGACGAGATGTGGACCAGCATGGAGTACCTGAATTGGAAGCTCCAGGAGACACTCCCACATCATCCCGCCGCCCAGTCTTCCATGGTGGCTTGGTTCAAAAGCGAAGACGCGCATCCAGTATGGAAGAGCGCGGTGGGCAGCTGGCAGGGTCGTGTGACCAAGGGCAGCATCGCCAGAAAGGTCGAGGCTGGCAACGGGGCGACAAGACCCGTGGCGTACCTCGCCGGCGACAGCAACGCCGCTTATGACTTCGGCAAGATCATGAAGCCTAACTTTACGATCTGCTCCATCACTCGCTACGTGGAAGGAGGCAGAATGGAACGCATTCTCCAAAACAGCAATCCCAATGTCTTCCATGGGCACCATCATGGGCGCACAGGTGTTGCTTATTACGGTGCCTGGGTCACTTTCAACCATTTTTCGAGCAATACCGATTGGCTTGTGATGTGTGGCAACAACGAGGGGGTTGTATACGTGGGCAATGACCAGAAGGACATCGGTATCCGCCACGGTGTTCTTCACAATGCAGACTTCAATTTGTACATCAATGAGAACACCGGAGAAGCGTCTGACTTCGGTGTCATGGAAGTCATCACGTGGGACCGGGCAAACTCCGAAGACGAAATGTGGACCAGCATGGAGTACCTGAATTGGAAACTCCAGGCACACCTTTCGCATCGGCCCTCTGCGGAGTCTTCCATGGTGGCCTGGTTCAAAAGCGAGGATGCCAATCCAGTTTGGCAGAGCGCGGTGGGCAGCTGGCAGGGCCGCGTGACCAAGGGCAGCGTTCTCCGAAAGTTTAGTGCAGGCAACGGGGCTCCAGTTCCGGTGGCATACCTCGCCGGCGACAGCAACGCCGTATATGACTTCGGCAAGATCATGAAGCCTGACTTTACGATTTGTTCCATCACCCGTTATCTTGAAGGAGGCATAATGGGGCGCATTCTCCAAAACAACAATCCGAATTTCCTCCATGGGCATCATGCTGGGCGCACCGGTGTGGCTTATTACGGTACTTGGGTCACACCTCATGATGTTCCGGGCAATACCGATTGGCTTGTGATGTGTGGCAACAACAGGGGGGTTGTGTTCGTTGGCAACGGAAGGAGCAACATCGCTGTCCGCCACGGTGCTCTCCAAAACGCAGCCGACTTCAATTTGTACATCAATGAGGGCCTCACCGATGAGGTCTCTGATTTCGGTGTCATGGAGGTCATCACGTGGAACCGAGCCCTCTCAGAAGACGAGATGTGGACCAGCATGGAGTACCTGAATTGGAAGCTCCAGGCTACAATTCCCCGCGAACCAGCTGACAAGCGATCCATGGTGGCTTGGTTCAAGAGCGAAGACGCCACTCCAGCTTGGCAGAGCGCGGTGGGCAGCTGGCAGGGTCGTGTGACCAAGGGCAGCATCGCCAGAAAGGTCGAAGCTGGCAATGGGGCTACACGACCCGTGACATACCTCCGCGGCCTCAGTAATGCGGGATATGACTTCGGCAAGATCATGAAGATGGACTTCACGATCTGTTCCATCACCCGTTATCTTGAAGGAGGCGTAATGGGGCGCATTCTCCAAAATCGCCATCCCAACTTCATCCATGGGCACCATGGTGGGCGCACCGGTTTGGCTTATTACGATACTTGGGTCACACCTCAGGATGTTCCGGGCAATACCGATTGGCTTGTGATGTGTGGCAACAACAAGGGGGTTGTGTTCGTTGGCAACAAAAAGAGCAACATCGCTGTCCACTACGGTGCTCTCCGAAACACTGACGACTTCAATTTGTACATCAATGAGGGCTTCACCGATGAGGTCTCTGACTTCGGTGTCATGGAGGTCATCACGTGGAGGCAGGCCCTCTCGGAAGACGAGATGTGGGCCAGCATGGAGTACTTGAATTGGAAGCTCCAGGAGACACTCCCACATCATCCCGCCGCCCCTTCGTCCATGGTGGCTTGGTTCAAGAGCGAAGACGCCACTCCAGCTTGGCAGAGCGCGGTGGGCAGCTGGCAGGGTCGCGTGACCAAGGGCAACATAACCCGAAAGGTCGAGGCTGGAAGCGGGGCTACAAGACCCGTGACGTACCTCCACAGCCTCAGTAACGCGGGATATGACTTCGGCAAGATCATGAAGCCAGACTTCACGATTTGTTCCATCACCCGTTATCTTGAAGGAGGCGCAATGGGACGCATTCTCCAAAATCGCCATCCCAATTTCATCCATGGGCACCATGGTGGGCGCACCGGTTTGGCTTATTACGGTACTTGGGTCACACCTCAGGATGTTCCGGGCAATACCGATTGGCTTGTGATGTGTGGCAACAACCAAGGGGTTGTCTTCGTTGGCAACGGAAGGAGCAACATCGCTGTCCGCCACGGTGCTCTCCAAAACGCAGCCGACTTCAATTTGTACATCAATGAGGGCCAAACTTCGGAACCCTCTGACTTCGGTGTCATGGAGGTCATCACGTGGAACCGGGCCCTCTCGGAAGACGAGATGTGGACCAGCATGGAGTACCTGAATTGGAAGCTCGTGAAAGGCTCGCAGTGAAGCAGTCTGCGGGCCACTGTTTTAGTGTTTTTGTGATCGTGCATTTGGGAAGACTGCGCCTGTGGTCGAAAAAGCCTTTTGAGCAACGTTTGGAATGCAATGTGATGCGGTGTAGGTTGTTTTTGCGCTCCTGCTTGTCGAATGTGTCATATGTCTTGATGCATCTCGACAATTCTGAGCCGCCTGTAGACCGTGAGAGCGTATATTGAAGGCTCCAGTCTTTAGGCATTAGTGTGCGTATCTGTATCTTGCCCAGCAGGCATGATCAGGGGCATCACGCACGTTCCGTCCAAAGCATGTTCGCCCCAAAATCCATCAGGTTCTGGAAGCCGCCAGATCGAGAGCAGGAAGCGTTCATGGGTGAGATCCCAGCACAGGCGGGAGAGAAGTCCAGAAACCAGAGGTGTGGAGTGCAAAGTGTATAAACTCTTCTTCGAAAGCTCCATGGGAACCGCCGACGCCAACACATCACTAGACCGGTGTGCCCCAAGCCCAGATCCGCATCTCAGGGGTCGCTGAAGATGCTCACCTTCCCCGGCCACATTTGGCACTTCCGTAGCGGCGTGGACCAGTCCTCTACGCTGCTCTATGTACAGGCACCAAGCCATCTCGAGCAAGACTGTGAGAGTCTTCAGTTCGATTCGAAGTCTGCTGTTTCTGGGCCTTCAACCGAGCGTAATGCGAGGGAGCCGCGGGAAATCCGCGGCATGTCGGAAGTCGCATAAACCGGCATGCGCATACAAGCATCCGTGCTTCGGAAATCTTGGATAGAGTCGTGGAGGGAATCATTGCCATGTTATGACCGGGACACGGCTTGAAGATCTCATCTGCGGCCCTGCCGGAGCATGTGCCAATTCGTGAGAATCGAGTCGAAGCCTGATACCCAGTAAGAAGGGGGAGACCCGCCAGAGCTGCAGGAGATCTTCGATGGCCAGCCCGAGCAGGTCTTCTACCTGGGAGGCGGGCTCCGGGCTCAGGAAGCAGGATGAAGCAACGCATATCACATACCATAAACTGGCGCGCGCACTTCTGTTCTTTTATGCATGCATTTCCATGCATGACCACATGCATACAGACATTTCTGCCTACCGTACGTTTATATACGTCCCTACTTACCTGCCTGCATATGAGTTGTGTCATGATATATTCTGTTTGGGAACTCTTCCATGCCTGATGCCAAAGCAGTGCAGGCGAGGATCCAGGAAAGACGCCAGCAGAGCTCTAGGCATCGAAGGTGGGCCCGGCCCCGGCCCAGTCCTTTGCAGCGATGCAAGTTTCTGTACCTGCTGGCCACAGATGCTCCTGGCATGAGATGCAGACTCCGCGAGATTGAAGACATCGTGTCGTGAGCAGCAAGGACATGGGTACTTGTGAATGTTGGAGTCCGGATCTCGCTGTCAGGAGGAAGTCAGGCTGTTTTTGGATGTTCCCCCAAAGCAGGGTATTGAACAGATTGTTTAGTGCAAAAAACCCGATTGCTTCGCGCGACTTGCATTCGCGAAAAGCAGGTGCGCTGAGCGAGATTTATTTTGCAGGAGGTGCTTGGACAAAAAGCCCAAGCAAAGCAAAGGGAGATGCGGTTTGTCCGGGAGAGCTTGGGGAAGCGATGGGCTCCGTACAGGGCTGCCATCGGAGATAATAATGCTGATAATCTGAAGTCCCTTGACAGATCCACGAAAACCCTGCCCCTAAACCCTAAACCCTCTATATATATATATATATGTATATATTAATACATCTTGGAGATCTACTGTAGCGAGAGGAAAAACTATTACATTATACATAATCTATAACGACTCGCAAGCTCCCGAGGGTGGGATTCACCTGCCAAGCCTCGCGCCGCCGGCCGCTGCCCAGGCGAGTCCGGCCCCCGAAGAGGCTCCTTCGTGTTGCTTTCTGGGATGTGCCCTTGAGTGTACGACAGCCTTGAACGCTGCACAGGAACCTTCTCTGTTTTCAATCTGACTTCAGGCTTTGCTTCTCATCTTGCCAGGAACATCCTCCGTGCCCTTTGCGTAGATGTAGTTAGTAGTTTCCCAGAGCTACAGTCAGTCGGCGAACTTCCGAGGCCCCTAGGCCCCTCAGAACCCAAGTTTCTGAACTCCGAAGTCCAATCCGGTTCGGGGGCGACCGTGCGCTTCCTAGCGAGTGGAGCAGAGGTGGCTTCGGTGCAACCCGGAGCGCTCTATCAGATGCTAGGCTGAGAAGCATCGGCCTTCGTGACACTAGCCAAGGAGTTTACGCGCTGGCTTCAGTCTGAGAGAAGGACAGTTTGAAGACTCGGAAGGGAGTCTCTGAGTCTCTGGCAGTCTAGCCGACGGCTGAGGAACGACTACATGACACTCTGGAATGACAGCAACGACCCTGTCTCAGCTGTGCTGTGCCTCGGCATGACACGGCAGGATCGATGAAGAGGTGCAGGGAGGGTGAGTCAATGTCGCCGATCCAGAGACTAGGAGCACCAGCATAGCCCCTGCTTGGTCCAACCACAGGCTCATTCCCAAACTCGAGCAAGGCCTGCTACAGCTGCATTCGCAGCATTCATCATCCCTGGTGTCTCTCCATGCGACGTCTTTCGCTTGATCGCTGGGCCTCTCACAGGCGCGTGGTCACACCTGACCGCTTCGAGCTCAAGGCCCAAGGGGGGCTGAAGGACATCTCACAGAAGCCGGAATCGTTTGTCCCAGGTCATTGTTCAACTCGCCGTTAGTAGAGCTCCAATAGTTCAAGTGGCTTTGATCTTCGCGTCCTTGTTTGAAGAGATTTTTCCTGTTCCCTGTATGGGATTGAGACTGGCATCATTCAACGATGTCTCTGTTACGGGGTTTTGCTTTGCATGGAGACCCGACCCCGACAGCAGCATGAGCCTTTATTAGTCAACAGCATCGGTTGATGGGTTTGGGTTGGGCAGTACTCGCGCAGTAAAAGGTGTCCCAGCTCGACTCCGTCGGCGGCGGCAGCGATGGGTGGATCACCTTCAGGAGAAATTTGGGGGATGTCTGAGTTGGTTCGGCTAATGTAAGAACCTGATTAAGAAACCTTGGCCCTATATCCCCACTATAACTAAATTAGAGTTCATATTAAGAACCCTAACAAAGGCCCAGGGTTTCTTAATCAGGGAAGGGGGGTCACCTGTGTCTTTTTTTTTGGGGGGCACTTGTGTCTTTTTTCGGGTGTCACTTGTGTCGTTTTTGCTGGTTCGGAAGCAACAGTCTCGAACGGGAGGCCCCCTGGAAGGCTAACCTTACAAGCCCTAAAATGTGCAAGCCCAGACCGCTACCCTGCAAGGAATAAGACCAGACCGAAACCCTAATGAAACACCCTAAAAGGAGTAAACCCTAAAAGGAGAAGGTTTTTGTTTGTTTGGTTCCGAAAATTAAAGTCGTTGTCAGGTGCATTTACCGGGCCTGAAACTGAGTGGGGTGAGGTTCAACCAAGGCACTTGTCGTTCGAGACTGTTGCTTCCGAACAAGGAAAAAGTCAGAAGCGACACCAGAATAAAAGACAGAAGCGCCAAAAAAAAGACGCAAGTGAACCCAAAATAAAAGACAGAAGTGATCGGGCACCCGTCTTGCGATCATCATGAGCCCTTTAAGGACGTTCCTGACGATGTTTGAAAGTTGCGACTATGGCGGCACCTCCGCGATGGTAGACGCGGGCCTCAGTGAGACTGAGGTGCTAAGTCCGCCTAGACTTGAAGAAGCCTGCAAGTATAAAAAGAAATCAAAAATGGGTCCAAGACAGATTCAAGAAAACTTCAAGAAGCTGAAGAGCCAAAAGATTCAAGAAAGGTTCAAGATGCCAAAAAAGCCAGCAATGGCTGACGGAGGGCACAAAAACGTCAGAGCCTCGAGAGGCTGTTGCAAGTACGGCACTGGATGCCGACGCAGGGTTCTCCTTTTCGGGGTTTAGGAAGAGGTTGCTGCTGTTGCTGCTTTGCTTTGCTGCGCTGCCTTCTTCTGCTTCGATCACCAGGGCCACAAGTGCCGCCTGTGTGAACAATACCGGCCCCCCCACGGGCCTCCCACTTAGATCTCTTTTGCAATCCAACAGGGATCCGCTGTCGTGCCATGCTCATGGTAGTGATGGCCCGGAAGTCTTCAGAGTCGAAGAACTGCTGGAGACTGCGCTGGTGGACCATGAGGACCGCCGCGTGAAGTTCGCTGTGGACGGCGAGTGTGCTGCTTGGCTTGACGTTCAGAGGGTTGGGGCTTTTCCTTTGCTGTCTTCCAAGGTTCTCACTTGCTATACCCGTGCTCAGTTCCAGTCCTTTGACAGGTTCTGGTCAGAACAAGGGGTGGTTGTGCCTGACGGGGCTACTCGCTTCTTTTCTCCCTAGAACTGATGGCCTCAGTTTCACGTCGGAATCCCAGACGAGTGCAGGCGTTGATTTCAGTTTCAGGTCGGAATCTCAGATAGTGCCGGCCTTTCACCCAGGAGCCGAGTTCGGCTCAGACTCCGTTTGGGTCGTGCTCGTAGAAAGAAACTTCGCTCCCGATGCCGCAAGCTGAAAACTCAGCGTAGGTTTGTGGCTGTAGCTTGGAAGTGTCGGCGACTCAGTAGCAGACGCGCGCCTGCTCTGCGGACGTGCGCCAGAAGACACAGGCGAAAATGGGCACTCCGGTGCCTAAAGCTTCGCCAAGGCGGCCTTCCTGCACGAAAGTGTGGGCCCTGTGGCGGCCAGAGGGATGTTCTCCTGCGGTATCTGCCTCCGGATGGGAGGGAAGCACCGCCGGATGCTGAACAAGGGTTCCTGTGATGATGAAGTCTTCAAACTCCTCAAGACTATCATGCATGCTCATGAAACGGGTACGTATGATGAAGCTAAGCCAATAGCTAAACAGTCGTGGGAATGGCCAGACACCTGGCAGCAAGACTGCGACTACGGAGCTGGTGGCTAGACTGCACAGGCGCTTGGCCTCAGACCGACAGCAGTTGGACTTCGGCTAAGTCTGCTGCAGGATGGTATGAGTATGATCCTGAAAGTGGATGGTGGGATT